GAATGGTACTTGTTAGCATAACACCGAAAATCCAAAAATCCAAATAACCCGAACCGAAACCGAATGGGCTACCGCTGCTTAGATCATGATAGTGATAGCAGGAGGGTATGGGGCTCGATCGGACTGAACGTGGGATGTTGACTGTTGGTACATGAACTGAACTCTTATTATATATTATGACTGAGTAGAACCGATCAAGCGTTATTGTTCTCGCCAATTACTATCTTCGTATTTCGTGGTCTATATTTTAGGGTTTAAGAAACGGTTAATATCGGGTCATGAGATGAACATGTTCCCGTTGTGGTGATAGTGACGGCTCGATTATAGGTAACTAGGATCGGCCCGGGCTACGCCCGGGATTTTTCTATTATATTTATTGTTAATTCTATTTTCTATTTATTTTAGTATTATATATACATATATTTTAATATTATTAATACATAAATGATTAGACAATTCTCCAAAAATGTAGGTTTTAATTTCTTGATTTTTTTGTCTAATAGATTTGTATAAAACATGTTTAAGGTAAATATTTTTATATTACTTATTTAAGTTTATTATAATAAATGTTAAATGTACATTTGGTTCCAACTCCATTTTGGATTTAGAACCATTAAATTTATAACTTAGAAGGATATTAAAAAATTTATCTTTCGATTTTTTTTCCTCCTCGTCCTATATCTAAGTTGATGTATTTGTAAATATATAATTAATGAACAAACACTCATAATCATATTTGCACAATAATGTTAATTTTCAGAATTGGTTGGTGATTGAATAATTATAAACAAAGTATAAGTGGTTAAAAATCTATATAGTTGTCTTTGGATGTCACATGCTAATACATGATATGTAACTGAAAACTTTTCGCACCCAATCTACGAAATAGGCTTGCATGATCATTATATCATCCATCTATTACAAATGCTTTGTTTTTATGTATAGAATAACATCAACTATTTACCACAGTGTGCAATAATTCATGCTAAAATGGTTTTGGTATGAAGAACACTTTATTTGTCTTGCTTCAGTATAACTGCTCTTTCATTGTACTACTCAAACTCATGTTAGAGACAACTCATAAAGATTACATAACAACCAAAATATAAAAATCCATGTAGCAACTAAAAGGAGAAAACAGTAATAATTTAATTTCTAATACCATATTAATAACTTGATATGATAGCAAAATTCAATGACAATTCAGATGTGCCGCGTATATCTATTGCACACACAATAGAAAAACTAAAACAGATGCAATCACATATCATGATCAAACATAATTTAAACGAAAATCCATTTAATAATCATAGATTAGATGCTATGCGCTGTTTTTTTTAGTTTTTAGTTATCTAATTAATATAATTTAGTTATAATGATTAAGGAATTAATAGATGAAATACTTTTTTCTGTGGTATTTTAGTGAAAAATAAGTATAACAAATATGAATGTATATTAATCATTTCATGAAAATTTATTAGCCTTTTGTATATAAATATTTTTAATCTTTTGTACTAATCTTTAGTGCTCCAAAATATTTAGTAATGATAGGGTATTATGTTATACATTGTGGAAAGAGATGCATATGAATATTTGATAATAGTATCTCCGTTAACTCATCATTACCTTTTTAAAACTGATATTGATGTTGTTTTGTTTCTTTATTTTATTTTTTTGAGTTCTTTTTTTATATGTTGATCTTTAAAGGAACATAAACCAAATGAATATTAGTGTAATGGATGCTTTATATTATAGAACAAAAAATATAAAGCATAGTTTCATATTTTTTTGCAGAATATATCTGAAATACATATATAAATTATTTAAAATAGACCTATATCGAAAGTGATATCTCGTAAGCAAAGATTATGAAGTGTACTTTGCTTAAACTATTTTGCAGAAAGACTTTTTGTAAAAAATATTTTAATCTCATATAGATATATACTAATTGTATTTTTTCATATGCACCAAGAAAAGAACTTATACGTAAATTGAGTATTTATTTAACTTATGTGATATTTCATATTCAAAATCCTGAAATACACATTATTTTGGAAGGTTTTAGTAACGAACATAATGTTTGATTTTTATTTTTACTTGACTATACAATAATTATAGTAATAATTCATATTCATATGTGTTTTTATTATGTTGGTTTATGTATATTTTATTATGTTTAGAAATATATAACTTGGGTTCAAAACTACACAACTACTTTTGTAAGTCTCATGTCACGTGATATCTACTATACACTATTAAAATGTGTTTTTACAGTGTGAATCTTTTGCTGTTCCAACGTGAACCCACTGCATGAGAATTTTGATGTTGCACTATAATTTATACAAAAACCAGGAGTACATCAAACTAAATCAAAACAGTCCACTTAAAGTTGTATATACATGTCCTCCTTGTAAAACCAGATCGTTGTCCTTCTTTTAAAAAAATCTTAGTCTTTCTCTCAAATAGAAATATTGGAATTTTTTATGAGTTGAACCATAATCCCCACTCTCTGTTTTTCTCTAGCAATACATTCGGTTGTTTTTGTACTGTGGTTGCCTTTCTCCATTGTTCTTACATGACGGTTCAACCAAAGCATCTTCCAAGATTAACAAACTTTGGCTAAATTCATATTCACTTTATGTAGTTCCAGAAGCCACTTGAGAGACCATCCCAGAGCGTCCATCGTTTACAAAAATATCAAGCTCCTCCTGTTTTCATTTTAATATAAATTGGTGACTGCACCTAATCCACTGATTTAAGAAAAGAAAAAAAACTGATCCACTGATACATTTTTCTGCGTCGAATCTTTTAATCATTCATCTTTAATACCTTTTCAAGTGATTCAACTGTTTCCAAAGCTTCTGGTAAAGGGCATCACATTTGGAACAATCTCAGACACTGGTTCCTTCTTATCAAGGCTTCTGTTGGAAAAAAAAAATCTGAGGAAGTGCCTCTTATTTAATATCCACAATAAACAAAACACGGTCAACAGAGTTCTCATTAAAAAAAGCTACAGTTTATTTTGGAATCAAGGTGGAAGTCGAATCAAGTCGAAAATCATCTGAAATCAACTTATCTTCTAATATAAGTCACATAAAGTCTCGACTAATATATCAAGTAGTTTGCACCCTAAGCATAAGAGTCGTCCTTACCCACTCGCAGGAACTGGTGCATTCTTCAGGATCTCTTCTGAATCAGAGTGACTCTTGATCCGGTGCAAACCAAGCAAGGAATCTGCCCTTAATTCCAAAAAGGTATAATTCACGGTTGGCCAATTCCACCTTATACCAACTGAGACCATCACCTTCAAACTCCACGATACCAACTAACTTGCCCTTTTAGGTGGATTTAGTAATTTAAAACAGCGCTAAGTCTCATTTAAATCTCATGTGTATGGAGTAGTATTCATCAGACTCTATGTGGACCTAACCCCTCTCTGACGTAATTCTACATTCACGCCCCTATAGAAGAATTAGATACTTAACATCAATGAAAAAAACACGATCCACCAACCCTGAAGCAAATGGCTTTGTGGCTCTCACCTAGCAACAACGAAATCAAAAAACAGCAGCCATCATTGAACCTTTGTGACATAAAAGATCAATAGAACCGAACTAAAAAGATGGTCCATAAATTGTTTCCTATACCTTGGAAATATGTATGGAACGTCACTCATTAGCATGCAAAACCTTTGCAACCAAGTCTTGATAGGGAGATTGGTAGGAGATCCTGAGAGAAGAACCAAAAAGGTGAATTAAAGACCATCTTAGAACAAAATAAGTTTTGATATATATAAACACCAGTCTATAAAACCGTACATGTGTACTTCTGTCCTAAAGGTCAAGGTTTTGCAGCTGCTTGAAGAATAAGATCATCATCTTATACTTGGCTAATATAAAGAATAGGAAATAAATTCTATAAAATTGTTTTGGTCAGTGTCTCACTCTGCATGTTAAATCATAGACAAACCTATAGTTAGCTGACATTCCAAGATTCCTAGAACAAAATTTTCAAAGGAAGCGAGAGACGTACCTTTAAATATACATTAATAACTCCTCAAAGAAGCTTGATGAAAGATCACAGAGGACATATGTTGCCCTGTTAACTGGTGGTTGTTGCCGTAACCTAATCATCAGAGAATGATAAAATCAAACAAAATTAGTTAACGCCTTGCAAAGGACATATGTTTTCTTACTGTTTTCAAAAATTGAAAGGATGATGTTACAGGAAAGAAGGTTTACTTTTTATAGGAGCAGATCAGCGCCTTGCTGAAGGAAGCTGCATTCAATAACAGATTGTGCTCAAAGGGGGGTGGTGGAGTTAGGAGTGTGATTAAGGCGATGAATCAATAACGATTGAAGAGAAGGCAGAAAGCCACGATTGGACATTCATAAATCGATTCCTCACGTGGATTGAACATTTTGAAACTCCATGGCTGGTATCAGAGAACGAAGGAGAAGGCTCTCGGATTCAACGACGGAAGAAAACATGAACCCTAAAAGTCTAAAACTCGTGCTCTTGGGCTCGTTGTATTACGGGGATGATCACAAAAAGCCTACAAAATTTTAAATAAGCCCGCAATTAAAACACAGAGTTTTGATAAAAGGACACGTGTCATCTCCTCTTTACCTGATTTGTTGACGTGGCTTGAGCATGAGGGAGAGAACAATCCTTTATATATATAGATTAAAGATCCAACTAAGTGGTCTTCAGTGTTACTAGATCTCGTCGTTTAAATTTGTAATGAAAGTTAGAATTTGAACCCAAAACAAAGTACACAATGTAAAATATTTTATTTAGTTTTGTGTGTTCCAAACGAAAATATAATCAAATAAAAAAACTCCCTTTAGAGATTTACATGGATGCAAAGGGTAAAATACTGTTCATCAATCAAAAAGAAACTATTACAGTCCACAACCAAAAATGAATCAAGTTAACAAAAGAAGACTTTCGAAGCAGACACAAATCAAAATGGTAATAAGTAATCAACTCTTCGATTTCTAAACAGACATCTGTGACAATGGTCTCTTACCATCATCCGTGTATCCCAAAGAAGGTGGTCGAACCGGTCTAGGACTCTCATCACCACCAACATCACTAGCCGAACTCTGCTGAACCAAAACTGGATAAATATCGGTAGAAGCCGAAAGCCGAGAAGGCGAAGCCGGAGACGAAGGAGAGACCGAAGATGGGAACTCAGAAGCAGGGAACGAAGCCATGGAGAGCGTTCTTGTAATCGAAGGATTCACCTCAGCCAATTCTTCAATACCTTCATCTATATAAACAACATCCTGCATAGTTAACTGATGATACTCAACAATCTCTCTCAAGAACCGGTTCTCTCTCGCGTAAATCGAGTTCTCATGTGCTAATCTTGCTTTCTCCGCAAGCAACGTCTCTAGCTGAAGCCTAATTAGGTCATCATCAGCTGGATTGTTGGTTCCCTTTTCCCGGTTATCTCTTAACCGTTTGTTTTCCTCTTCCAGCTGCGAGCACCGTTGTTTAGCGAAAGCTTGGTCGGCTTTAACCGTCTTCAATTCACGTAGGAGGAGCTTGGCTTTGGCTGCCGTAGCCATGGCTACGTCACGAGACGCTTTGAGCTGAGACTCGTGTGGGTTAGGTTGTGTTAATGGTTGCCATGGACTGTTTGAACCAGAGGATTGATTGTGATTCTCTGATGAATCCATTACGTCTGATCCTTTACGTCTCATTTGGGAAGCTACCATCGTACGGCCTTCCTCGAATGCTTTCTCGAAGCTGTCTCCTATCTGATTCAGAGATGTTGTGATCTTGTCTATGCTTTTGCGTATGGTTGGATTGTTGTTATTAGTCAAGGGCTCCGAGACGACGTCGTTCTGCTGTTCCTGCTGCTGTTCGTCTTCGTCCTCGAGGATTGATTTGGCTTTCTGAGCTAGGATTCCCCAGAAACCGCGGCTCTCGTTCTTGGTTGCATCTTCGTAAGCCGTGAATCCTCGTACCTGAAATTATATACGGATTTATAGTTTTTTTCTGTTTCTTGCGGGAAAAGTTATTGAGAGAGAGAATGTGACCTGAGAATTGGAATTAGGGTTAAGAGCAGAGGAAGCGCGGATTGCTTGAGCGGCAAGGGAGGAATGAGAAGAGAAAGATTGAGAAGATCTGAAGGAGGAACCGCCATTGGAGTGACCTTTGAGATCACCGTAGTCGTGATCAGGTGTTTGATTGTAGATATCGTCGTTGAACGTGGAAGCTCTTGTGATCCCTTGTTTTCTCCGATACGCCATTTCTCATTCCTTTGTTCGGTTTTCCTTTCTCTGTCTTTAGTCTTATTCTTTTTTTTTTTTTTTTAATCAAGAAAATTTGTATATCGCAGTTACAATCTTTTATCCTCTGGTTTTACGTAATTCACGTTCTTAATAAGTGTAGGCCGCCAATTTCCATTGTTAATTATCATTGTTTTGAGAAATAATTTTTCTAAATAAATTTGTAACAATTGGCTTTTCTATGGAATCAGTTTTTGTTTAACAGACCCGCTTATGTCAAATCTAAATCTATACTTTTTCTATTGCAAATTAAGTGTCAATTATTTTCCTGCACACAAATTTAGAAAATAATTAGTTATGTAAGTTTTTTTATATAAAAAGACAATTAATTATTATAAAGAAGAGTTTTCACTCTTTTAAAACTGTCATGTCACTAATTAATATCGTGAAAAACTGACATGTGTCATGTTCACATTATAAAAAAAATTCTATTTTCTTTGTTTTAAATGGATTTTTATATGCTCCGAAACCTAGAGAAATTTGATTAGGCATCTTCTTTTTGTAGACATCAAACCGACAACCAATTCTAGAGTTATTCATCCTCTAAGAAATTTGATTAGTTCTACCATCAATAGAGTTTCAGAAATTTAGAAGGAAAAAAGTTTTGTGAATAAATCTTTGCGTCTAAGTAGATTCATGCTATGTTGTTTCGTTTCTGATTTATCTTCTCACAAACGTTACAAGTTTCACTGATTCAACATCATTAAGGAAATCTTAAATGTTTTGATCCACTTTAACCACAATCACTCATTCAATAGTGTTTATCCATCATCTAAGCGGTGGATCTCCACTTATAAAAAGGAAATATGTTTTTTTTTTTCACTTTGAGTTGGTTATTCTTGGCTGTGATCTTTTAAATCAAAGTTAGTTCTCGATTTTTATTGATATTCTAGGGATCCATCCACTTAATATTGCCAAAAAAAAATATTTTGGTAAATCAACCTAAAAACTAACTGAAAAATTATGTTGTAAAATATAAAACTAAAAGTCATACTTATAAAAAAATAATATAAAAACAAAATACTATTAGAAAAATTAGCTTCATATCTTGGTTAACTCAAACAAAATATAAATGCATTTAATAAATATTAAAATATCTAAATTTCTCTTATCTTCAAAACTAAAATGAAAATCAGTATAAAAAAATATAATTTTTTTTAAAAGGAAACTAAATTTCAATTTAGTATATTTTTTATGGAAAATTATATCTTGAAAATATAAACTTACAAAAAACAAAATTTGTCAAAATAAAATATAACCAGAATAAAAAAAACTTAAAAGAAAATTATAGGAAAAAGTATAAAATATGAAAATAACATTTTTCATCCTGGTTTTACATATCTTTTTTACTAATTTGCTTTTTCTTTGTTTGTATTCGCTTTTACCATTACCTTACACGCATGCGCTCCAACATATGAACAATATTTTTACTTATGTAGAGATCTTTACTCTTTTCGTGTTATCAGATTCTTTTGTTAGTTGCCAGACACATCTTTTCTCGAAAAACTGCGACTATCTTATTTTTCTTATAAAATTCTAGATTTTCTCGAAAATTTGCTCGGAGATACTTATCAATGTTTTCCAAATGTAGTTTTGTTTTTTCAAATAACGTAGATCAGTTAATAAGAAAATGACTACATTAAATATAGTTTATAATTAAGATTTTGTCTAAAGATACCATGTATTAGCTTTTTCCTTTTCTTTTTCTGATATTATATACACCAATATATAGTTCTTGGAATAGAGAAGGACAGTGACAAAAAAAAAGGAATACAGAAGGTCAAGTGTTTGAGCTGGTGTGAAATCACCTTAAAACATAAACCACAAAGATAGAGTTGTTCTCAATCAGTTCTCACCTTATTGCTTAGGTTGAAATAAAAAGTTTCAGGTTTAACTTTGGTTATCAGAAGTTGAAAGATATTGCAGCTCAAACATGAAGGAGGAGCTCCCAAACATGAGGAAGGAGCTCCCGAACATGATAAACACCCATTAAAGAGGAAGGATTGTGCTAACTAAAAGGAAAAAAACTACAAGTTTAAGTTACAAAATTATTACTCATTGCATGTATGTATTTTACTACTTTTCAAAAATATATTCTAAGTAAATGAAAATTTTCAGAAATGATATAATAGTTAGGAGTACTAATCACTAAAGTAAATACAAATCTCAATATAGTTAAATCTATTTATATAAAAGAGTGTTTACTCCCTACTGAATACGCCACCTCATCATCCACGTCAGAAAGTCCACGTGTCCCGGATGCCACGTCATAAAGTTAGTCTACGTGCTTGCAACTTGTGTCCCATCGTCTAAAATTCTGCGTTTCATTACGTAACTAGTGACATTCGTTGGGGTTACTTTATTTTGGTCTTCAGGTTTTACTAAAATGACCGAGCCCAATATTGAATAATCTTTATATAAATAGATTAGAGTTATAAATCCGCGCTTAATATAATTATATTTTAAAATATAATCCATTAGATATTCAAACTAATCCTTTAATTATGATCCATTACATATAATCATTTGGTTTATGATTCATTAGAGATTCAAAGTAACAAAATAAATTCATTTTTCAGTTTGAAAAGATAATTATGTGTTAAAAATTATATATTACTATCCAATATTCATATATGTATCTATTTCCACAATATAAAATAAAATATCTAATTGTTACAAAACATTTATATATAAAAAGGTTAGTATATTTTTATGAGATTATTAAAATATCATCATATTTGTTATATTTATGTTTTTAATGTCACTGTAAAGAAGTATTTTATTTATTAATTCAATAAAAATATTAGCATTTAAGCATAACTTAAATTGTTTTAACAAAACAATTAAACAACCACAAAATGAAAGCTCACAGAGTTATTATAATGTATATTAGCCAACTATTTTTTCTAATTGAAACTATACTCACACATACTAAAAGTTACACATGTATTATATAACATTCAACTTTTTCAGATTAGATGTTTTTCTAATTTTTTCACACTAATTAATAAAAATGTTAAATGCTCCGGTTACCCTTATTTATTTATTTAAAATTTATTATTTTTTTCTACTATTATGTAAAAATTAAACAAAATTAACACATATAAATTCGAAAGTATACAACCTCACGCACACCACATCTATTTTTTCATGCGGTTCACCTTCGATAATCATTTCCTCGCACATATCATTTTGTCAAGTAAACACATATAAGTTTCAAATCAAATCGAACACACTATCAATAAGAAATAAAACATATTTTCTACATGCCCAAACATATTAACATCCATAAACATTATTATACATTTTTTCAAATCTTAATATAAAACACATGCAAATAAATATAGGATAGTATAGACTTATACATCATACATAAATCATATCCCACCCGTAGGACGGACCGACACTAGTTACCTATATTTCTATCATATTATTTTTTGACAAAAACACCTAACCATATTTCAGCAAATAGAAAAATAAATTACAATATAAATTTAATAAATTTTTCCAACACTATTGTTTGATAGAATTAATCAAAAAAAATATTCAACTTTTTGAATAACAAGAAATTTTAAATTGAATTACAAAATCATCACACCAATAATAATAAAATTTTTATATGGAATTATAAAATCATCACATCAATAACACAATACTTTTTAAGAATTTAAGAAGCATATTACCAACAACAACATAATTTGAAATTTTTTAAATCTTTATAAATCAATCACCCACTAGCACCCCCCACTCCTAAAGGAAAAATTCCTTAAAAATAGACGGACTAAATTTTTTTACTAATAAAATACACATACTATTTAGGATCTATGTCTAATACACAAAATAATTTTAGTTGCCTATTAAATATATAAATCTTTGAAATTAGACGGCGTAAACTATATTTAATGAAAATAGTGGCGACGTTAGTGTTTAATTAAACACATGTTTAAATTGTGAATATATTTAATAGGGATCCAAAATAGTTAGTATATTTTATTTAGAAAATGAAATTATATGTTTAAGAAACTTTCTCTTTCTACTACTCTAACTCTTGTTATTTTTCCAGTTAGTTAACTCCACTATTGATTCAAGATTATATTGTATCTCATTAAAATGAATTGCTTTGTGAAATAAAATAAAAAATCATAGAGGAAACTCACTTTAAATTTTTGTATTAACATCATTTTCTATAATAAAACCTAATTAATAGTTTCGAATATTAGAAATAAAAAAAAATTTATATGTTTAAGGAATTTTATCTTTCTACTACTGATAGTTGTGTTTTCACACAAGCCAATTAACCTAATGTGCCAACAATACCACAATTGGATGGTATATAACACTTTTGGATCAAATCCACAAAGAACTAATGATCTATAACACTAAAAATACACAAACTTTCCTAATCTAAGCAAGCAAGAAGATAGATGGTTTGTAACAAGCCAAGGTCCTAGAAATATAGACAGTGTCTCAAATCCAATCAAGAAATAAGTGTAAGAACAACTTTCAGTCAAATGATAAAGTAGAACTCATGGGATTAAGGCAATTGATCTAAAGCAATTAGTTTCCAAGTCAAGGTGCAAGCTTCAAGCAATCACAAGTCTCTATAGGTCTAGAACTCATTCAAATAGATTAATCAATTGTCATGACAATAATCCATTGTCATGACAATAATCCATTGTCATTACAATAATCCATATGAAATCATGAGCTAAACATCAAATGTCTTTGGCCTTATTCATTCAAGCAGGCTTTATGTTTATGTCTACTAAAATTCTAAGCATCCTTAACAACAAATGTCTTTGAGTAAGGAAGCAAAGAGCGATATCACTTTGGTTCAATCATTTCAACATACACCTTGTGAGCAAAAAAATGTCTAAGGATCAATCATAGAATGATCAAGTCTAGAATAGCATTAAGCACAAGTGATAAGCATAGAAACTAGTAGATCTAACATTAAACAC